CCATACTGTAAAATGATTTTTTTTTTAATTCTCCAAGTTCCAAATATCAATTAACGAATACGGAATGAACTTTCTAACAAATAGCCTTTTTATACAGTAATACATCAAAATTCACCATCATATATTCAGACACAAAGTAATAACCGGCATTCCCTCAAATAAAATCATTTTCTACCATCTGGTAGTTTGTTGACAATGAGTCCTCAGAGAGCAAATAATCCACCCCACATTACTTAGAAAAAGCTAATGTGCCAGCAGGCAGCTTTATATAAAGTATCTACCACTCCATGCTGACAGTATCCACTGACAAAATTGCCTGTTTCAAGAAACCCCCAAAGCTAGGTTGGTTATCAATTACTTTTTGCATGTAATGATCAAGCTAAAAATTACAATTAATCATCAGCAAAAATGATAAGAATAAATAAATAACACTTACAATTGCTTTTTTAGCAAGTTTTTGCGCCCATAAAGTTTCTGCCCACTTCTCGCTAATTTTTGCTTCATCAAATGCTTTTTTGACATTTTTTGTACGCATTCCATGTCTCAGCGGTATATGAAATTTCGTCAGATGGAGGTCTTTAAAATTACGAACCGAACGTCTCACTCCTGTGGTTGGCCCGTCAATCAAGGCCTGAAAATTCACAATACATCAAACTTTGTTTCACCAATGAAACTTTGAATAATTTACCAATTTGTTTCTTATTAGAACAAAAACTAGATTTAAAAAGGAATACATAGATTATACTAATACAGAATAAAAGATACAAAACATAAACTGAAAACCAACTCTATTTCCATCAACAACATCAACAATAGTTGCCAGTTTTCCACCGCCATCACCTTTGGCAACGAAGACTACGCGGCCGATTTCCACTACCTTTTTATACACCATCTTTCATTAACCTTAATAAGAAAAACTGTTTATCATTTAATTAAATGCTAAATAGGAGATAAACAAATCATAAATATTAAAACTACTTGCACAACTCGATTAAGAGTTTTCTTTCAGCATACCCAGCATACCAAATCATTTTCAAATAAATTTTTCATGCAAATAAAGATTTATTTCCTGCAAAATCTCATACGACAAGCCGCGAACCAAAAATGGAAGATTATGCAGTTTCAGGCCCCTGTAGACATATTTCTGGAAAACCGATACAATTAACAGTCTCGATTTAACCAGGTATGAAAAAGTAAGCTCTTAACCCTTGACCTCTACAAGAAAAACAACCACCTCTTTAGTGATCTCGTTTAATCGTTCTCACAATCTTCTCTCCTACAAAATACTTGACCCTCCCCACCTTCCTACTTCTTTCTCCCTAGCCCAAACCATTAAATAAATCACTCTGTGTTACTCATGCGTACGCATGAGTAACACAGAGTGACACATTATACTGAATTCCCTATATGAAAAAGTTAAAATCTGGGATACTTAACTTTCCTGCAGATGGTTCATCGCGAGCTGTTTCGAGGGGACTGTATGGGGGGGTTTAGTGTAATGTGGTGCTAATTCAGGATATTGTAATTCAGAACAAAGATCTCATGTAAGAAAAATTTTTTTAGGCAATTATAAAAATCGATTTAATTAATCTGTTAAAATAAGTAGATAGTTAGAAATGAAATGGAATTTGAGCGTTTAAAGAGATAGAATTATGCATAAAAGAAAATTGGAAAAGCGAAAACGAAGAAAAAGCGGTGAAGAACGAAAGTTTATTTACCATATAAAATTTTTTTAAGGATATATTAATATTAATGTTTTTACTAGCCAAATAAATATATTAGTGTTTTAATTACTTCTGTTGCTAATTAAATATTGCTGCTTGATGACGAAAGAAAAATGGTTGATAAAAAGTAGTATTATTGTTTGAGTGGAAAGAGCTATTAGGACTGAATATATCATTATTCAATATTTTTTAATTGAATTTAATATCCTTAAAAACGACATTCATGCATTAACATCAATGATTATTTTAATCATCACACTGTATAAATTGTTGTTCTTGAATCGTCATGCCTTATGAACTGCTATCTTTTTACTTTGTTAAAAACGAGAAAAAGAAGATAGGATTTATTAACCATTGCATTGCAAAAAATATCAAGGAGGTAAAAATTAACTTGACTATACAAAATATGCTAAAATTTAATCGTAATTTCAAGAATTAATTAAGCCATATAGCATTTCATTAACAAATATTTTTATTAATAAACGACCACAATTGATTTCGATGGCGCTAACTTAGTTTATTTTAATTATAAAAATATAAATTTTAAATAATTTTCAAATGGTTACAACTAATGCGAATACAATCAAATGGGAAAAGAGACGATAGTTTCTGAAAATTTCATCATTATTCGTATAACAAAATTTACATTTGCATATTATACATATATTGCATGGAAACTAATTCATTGTAAATTAATTTATCATTTTCTTTTCCCCAAAAAAATTACATTTCAAATGCACGAGGATTTGATCGTTTTAGCAAGAAAAATCAATTTTTATCAGATAAGCTATTAGAATATTATCAATATTCTATAAATATATTTGAAAACAAATTAGTCGTCACTTAGTCATTTACTTTCTAATGTCATCATAAAAGTTTAAGCGAATAAATTTTCCACAGATTCGTTCATCAAAATTACAAAGTTTAGCTATTTTATGACATGCATATTCCCTATGGATATATACACTTTGTTGATTTTCTGCGGATCGACAAATGTAAGAGACCGTGAAGTGATTATGAAATGAGTAATGGAATTTATGAGTATAATATGGTACGCACAAGACATATCCACAAACTTTATTATTACATTTCAGCTTGCTATTTGAAAAGCATCCAAGGACCAGACAATATAAAAACTGATAGTAAAAAAAGTGTACGACGACGATAAATATAGACAGCCACAAATTCCCTTTTCGTGTAAAAAATCAGTTTTAAAAAAATTTTCAATTTTTTCAATTTCTTCGCACCACCTGCTTTTTTTTCAACTTATTCGCTAACGTTTCAACGCTATCTTCAATTATACTGACAGCTCTGCGTTTTCGCTTCTCTTCAGCCTGGAAAAAATAAATTGAAAAATATAAACATATGTGCATTTTTCTTACAACTATCTTGCATAACCGACTGTTTAATATTCTAACTCGAAATAGTTATTTTGGCTAACAAGAGAACACACACATATACATATATGTATATATTCTAATAGCAATTAAATTAATACAAAACCTAACCATATGGAAACGTGATAACTTTGCATGATTATATGCAAAAAGTGCTCCAAAAACAAAGAAAAATATAGTTTTCGCGATAAATAAATGAGTAAATAATATGAAACAGAAAACATCTATTTGATTCCTACAATATTCTATTTTTTTTTAAAGTTAGTCCACCCAGTTATGAATACACTGTGACATAAAATAAGTTATTTTCAAAATATTTCTATGCATCAAATTAAGTTAATGTTGAAAATTGTAAATGGGATTTACAAAAATCAAGCAAACATGAATAACTGGAATGGAATCTGAAAATACAAAATATAACCTGTTTTATAGCGAGTTTTGATGATTTAAACAGAGGATGAGATTGATCAATAGCAAAAGCACTGTTGCTATATAAGGCTTGGAACCTTAAAAAAAAGGAACATTTACATTAGCAGTTTTATCTGATAGAGTGAATTTAAAGTTCATTCTATCTATTGTTTCTGATATGGATTGTAAACTTCCTAATATGGGTTATTAAGATATAAATTATAAATCACTACTATGGATAAAGTGCATGAATAAAATAACATTGATGATGTAATTCAACTGCTGAAATCTCAGAAGCAAAAATCAAAAGCGATGATGTGAAATATTGTTGTAAATTTCATAAATTTAAATGATTATGAAAAGTATGAAATTAGAGATGAGAATACATTTGTTAAAAAAAAAATACCTTTCATCATCGATATAGTCCGATTCGCCAATTTTGACAGCTTTTTTCACTTTATTTTTTGCAGGTGGCTTAGTAATGTTTTCAGCAACATTTTCAACCATTTCTGACTTCTGTTTTTTCTTCAAATCAGCAATCATAGCTTTTCGTTCCTTAAAAATAATGATGATCGCTAACACAATATAGTAATTTTAGCAAATTTTTTTATTAAGATTGCAGAATTATCAGCAGTAAATATGTTGAGATATTCATAATATTCTTTTATTGATAGACATTGGTTGGAAAAAAATGGTTAATTAATTAATAGAGACTTCGCAAGGTATGACTTAAAAACCTGCTTTGCGTTTCGCTTTCCTCTTCTCAAGATATTTTTCCCAGGGCGTTGGCTCACCACATTTTTTCTTTTTATTATTAAAAATCGTATCATCTGTCGTTTCCACATCCCACGTTACTTCTATCACGGAATCAGCTTTTTCAGAAGCTTCTGCTTCAGCTTCCTTTAGTAACATTATACTTTTCCCTGTTTCATCGTTCTCTTCATCAGATGAACATGGCGCCAACAAATGTCTATAGATTTGAGAACATCAAATCATTAATATGCAAAATAAAAATGGGATAAAATTTTGCAAAATTTAACCCTGATACCAAGCTCAAAATCCCATCAACAATTAAAAAGGAATACTATTCCGCACATTCAATGGTACTCACTGGACTTGATCAAGATCCGCATCTGAAAGAAATGCATTATGTTCTGCTTTAATACGCTCCGGATCTGTTTCGTCCCACGTGAGTTTGGCAGACGACTTCGATAAAGCGGCACTTTCAAAAATCTTGGGTTTAAATGCATTTAAATTAATATCTTTTTCAGTGACTTGCTCCTTAATCGCATTATTCTGAAAATATTCAACGTTCTGATGAAAAATACATTTAGCAATAATAAGGCGGTTACAATTTTATAATTTTAACCTTGTTACAATGAATTTTTAAGGCATTAATTCTTATGAAACTGAATTTTAATTTCAAAAAAAATAATATATTGATATACCCGAGATAAAGGCAAAAATTATGCAAAAAATTGGAGTAAAACATCGCTTTTTTCTTCAGAACTTTCAGGATGATCTGATTTTAACTAGTAGTATATCAAAAGATTTAGTACTAACTTCAAAGGTCATATCATCAGGTACGAAGCGAAGATCCAAACGTATAGAGCTGCATTCGAATTCAATACCATCACATGCTTCGTAGATGCATGAGGCTGTTTCCAACCCATCACATTCAATAATAGCATAATAATACCTCATCCTTTCCAACTGATAAGCTCTCATTGCTTCACGTGTTTCTCTGGAAAGTTATTCTATTGCATGGAAACCTGCCAAATGCTACTAAAGTGAGAAAAATATTCCAAGAAAACTCAAACAAATCGAGAAAAACTGCGGTATATCAGACAAATAGAACTTCAGAACATGAGAAAGAAAAAATCAACAACTTATTCTTCTTCCCTATAAGTTCATGTAATAAGAGAGAATTACAGTTTCACTATAATTCATTATAATATAAACCATCACTCTCTACTTCTCCTATCTTTTCCATTCTGCTTTCAAAAATATGAAATATGAATGACTTACTCATCTATTTCTTCCGTATCCTCAACTGATTTTTCCAGATTGCTTAATTTAGGCCCCATATGTTCTTCTTCTTCTAAACGCTTATGACCAAAATCAGATTTATATATTGTCACCGACCGGATAGCTAAAAAATCTTTTTTACTCATCTAATTGTCGTTCTCCAAAGACAGAAAAAAAAAATCTGGAAAAACCTACCAGCTGGTGCAGGTGGTTTGAATGAGGATATCATAACAAAAATATCAGTTGCCGAAATTCGATCCCACTCCATATTACATAAAGCTAAGCGATGAGATGCCCATTCAACTCGACGAGCATCTCTATCAATTTCACCCCAATTGTGCGTCTCTTTTTCTACCTGAACCACATTTTGAATATTTTGTTAAATTACCAATGGAATATTTCTTAACAATCCAATGGTTAAGTTAAACAACAGTCGCTTTTAACAATTACTTTTTGCTTAACAAATAATTTCTAGAGTAGCAACAATAAAAAAATTTCTCAATTCCTCATAATTCCTCCCTCTCTTGCTGAATGACACGGAATACTAAAAGATGATTAACTTAAAAAAATCACATACAGACATACCAGAAAAAAGACCAAGTCATTTAAAAGTCATTAGCATAGCTCAAATAACAAAACAACACGTATAAATTTTACTAATAATGAAGCACAACCAAAAACTCACTTCCTCCAATTCCCACTCGGAAGATGAATCTTCGTCACTTGATGTTATATTACCATTCCCACGGGCTAAATCAATTTTAATTTCCTTTTCATTCTCTGATTCAACATCCGAACTACCATCACCATCTGATAATTCATACAAAACATTCAGATCATTTTTTGGTCTCAAATTGACACGTCGTCCGCGCATGTCCACATTACTCTTTGACGCAAATTTTTCACTTGTGAACATGTCTTTGAATCTGAAAATGTCGAGAGTTAGAAAAACTGAAAGTTAATATGAAAACGATATTTTTATATTGTTTCAAAAAGAAATCTGAGATGTATTGCTAGTAAGACCAAAATATAGCAATCTCTGTGTGAAGGATAACAATAAGATGAAAGGAAACAAAGAAATGTTTAGATCAATATGAAGTCAACGGAATAAGATTGACAGTCAACAGCAAGCTTTTTTAAAAATTATCAACTACTGCATTTTATATGAAGTATATATTTAACATGAAGAAGCATCATACAAACACGCGTATTATATAGATTCGTTATGTTGTTTAAAAAATTTTATTGTTAATGCTATTTGAAAACTATCTTAAAGCTCTTCATTGACTCTAATGATATACTCCTTATTTTCTAAAAGAAAGCATCCTAAAGACTCTTATATTTTGGAAAAGTGTAAATCTACAAGATCGTAAAATTAAAAAAAATAATCTGTATTGAATGTAACAAGAAATACCTTTCGTCCACCACTACTTTTCTCTCTTTTCGCGGTAGCGCATCAAAACGTGGATCATTTAAAACTATTTCAAATCTTTCATCATCCATATTTCCTTTTTTGTTTTTCTTTTTATTTTTTCGCTTCTTTGGTTCCATGTTGAAAACGTTGCCTGCTTATCTGAAAAAAAAATACAAAATACTTGTTTTATTCTGAAATAAATCGTAGCTTCCGACGTTTATATGAAACTATATCACCGATATCTACTTTAAATTACAGCAAAAAAGGCAATTTTTCCAAAGAAGTAAAAAAGGCAATTTCTTCAAAAAAGAATAAGGATCCATAATATCAAGAAATCTCACTCATTTTCTAACAAAAGAATAAAAGCTATCTGTAGAAGTTACTGTGCAAGCATAACTAAAGTTCCGAATCACCACGGATCATATAGAAAAAATACTAAGTATGATAACTCGCTGCTAATGTATGAAACACTTTAGATACAAACATAATTATTATAACCACCGCAAAAGCCAATAAAATCTTCTGTCCCTCTCAAAAGAATAAAACTACATATTTCGATCGCTTGATCAGATTCAATTAATTGACTCTCGAAATAATATCAAACTTTTCTCTCCCAAGAAATACACCAAGAAATATCACGTCTAAAAAAATTTCATACCATATCATACCCTTTTCCCATTCAATTTGCTGAATATTGCGTGACAAAATACCAGCTTGCATTATACAGATAAATATTCAGCAGTTAAAATCGACCAATTTTAAACAATAAGCGATACAATGATTGTTAAAAACAATTTATTTCGAAATAAAACAAATAGCAAATTATTACTGATGATTGGTACTAGAACAATAATAACAATAATATATTAATAATAATAAATAACAAACAATTTAAGGTAATCGATGCATATCACTATCTAAGTAAAGTCTGTAATATTCATAGAATTTAACTAAAACATCCCGACTTTTTAATGCGCTCGAAAATCCATCAAATTTTGATAATCAAAAGCTATCAAAACAAAGAAAAACATAATAATCATTTAACTGGTACATTTCGTAAGCTAGGCGCTAACAGTGGTGAAAGCCCATTAACCAACAACGGCTGCCCTTTGTAAACAACTTGCCCTTCACAATTTACCTTTAAATCAGGTGCAATACCTTCCCAGATCTTCTTCTTTGGATTTAGAATAGGATCCGGTCGCCTTTTGTACCCTTCACAGGTTACCGGTTGTCCAGGAATGCAGCATTCATCAAACTCAATCAGTTCAACCTTTTCAGGAGTAGAAGCGCATAAAACCATTCCCTGCGATTCGATACCACGCATTTTTACTGGTTTCAAATTGCAAACACATATTACAAGCCGATTTTGCATCTGCAACAGCGTTACCATAAATTTTACAACCGCTCTTATGCTTAGATCAAGTATAAGGCTTGCTAAGTGATAAGTGTGAAAAATGTGTGAAAGTTTCGGTATTTGTAAGAGATTCATATGTTTTGGAACTTGTCCATCAGGGTTTTCTAAAAAAAAGAATGATATCAATCATATCTTCACTCCATTCAATATACTCATACGCTGTCAAGCTATAGCTTTTAATTTCCAATACTCTCATAAGTAAATAGAAGCATGAGTTAAACGGATGAATCACCTGCTCAACAGGAACGTATCGAACAAGGCCAGAAATAACGGTGCGAGGTTCATCTTCACCAACATCCATTTGTTCAACATACAAGCTATCAGCATCCGGATGCTTTTCTGCTTTCAAAATTCGACCAACTCGTAAATCCAAGCGGCCAATATCAACTGTCTCATCAATTTTAACATCTGTATCTCAATATAGATGTAAAACAAACAGATAAAATTATTTGACTAACGTGAGAGTATCAAAACATTAAATTATCAACGCATTCTGTTTAAATGATAGGTAAACAAGCCAACTGCAATAGTGAATCAACTGCAATGTATGATTCAAAAACTATAAATTCTCTCTTAAAAGATAAAAATAACCATATAAATAGCATATCCGGATGAATTAAAGAACTTAGATAATAACATGACAATTTCAAAATTACCTAAATACGGTTTCACACCAAGCATTTTCAAATCGTTTTGTTCTAATTTTCATTACAGTACAAATTTTTTTTCCAGAGTAGAATAAGAAAACAACGAACCTCCATCATTTTTCTTTTCCCCTTTTTTACTTTTTGTACCTTCGCTTCTATTTTCTTTTCTTTCCCTCCGTAAAGATTTTACTTCATCCACATTTTGTTCATTCATCCTTCCCGTTTGCATCGGTGAGGTTGTATTATTACTATCATCCGTAAGAAAACATTTTTTCTCAAACTTCGGAATGTTGCTGATTTGCTTTACTGAAAATTATCTGTGTCTAATTACAGCGAAAAACTTTCCTAAAATACGGGAAACAAAATTTAGCATCCTATCTATTTCTTAAAAATAAGTTAGTTGATGCAATAAGCGATGCTAAAGAAGTATGATGAGGTACGTGAAGTATGTCATTGTGTGAGAGTATAGCATAAATATGTAAGAGATCAACAGTTTCCATGTTATTTCTTGAATTTCAAATGAATTGCCAAAGTAAAGGATAAGGACCTCTTGTATGATTGATTACGCTTCTTTATTGAGCACGATTTCATCTTGTCAAGCATGAAACTACTGCTCTTTTAATAAAGAACAATCCTTCACACTAAATACAGAAAAGCAAGAAACAAAACTTTTTCTCTTCTTTAACTGCTCAGCATTAGAATTAAAAAAAAAAATTTTTGAAAAGTTTGGTGAAACTCAACATCTGCAAAAAAATTTCGAAAACTGAACTAACTTCCACCCAATGTTTCCAGTTTAATTAATTTCGCCTTCAATTGTTCAATTTCTGTCCTCAACTGAAGTGTTTGTTTTTTCTGTTCCTGCATTTTCACTTTTTCGAATTCTCCTTCTGAAATTGCAATAAAATATGAACACTTAATAATTTTTTTCCTTCAGATATAGAAGAGAAAAGTGAATAAAAAATTAAAAAAAATTACTTCGTTGTTCAAGCTTCATGCTTGCAACTTTCAATAAAGAATCAATTTTTTTTTGATTGGCTAATAGTTTCGAATAAAGGGATGATGACGCCATATCTGCAAGAAAAAAAAGTGCTTTAGAAATGATTATAGAAATTTCTATAAAACAATATTTCATCTCCTTAATAAAAACTAAAAATATAAATCTTGACTCGGCTTACTCATTTTTTCATAAAATTTAATTACTCTTCAATAAAGCTATGTCTGCATGAACACATGGAAATTGCTGCGCTTTCTCATTTGTCCCCCTGACTGTTGAAATTTTCATTTTTTATAAAGACATCAACTACAATCCCCTTAATTCTAGTTTTTACTGTATCTGAATCTTTTTAACATATTCACGGGAAATGAAAAGGAGAAAGTCTTTTAAATCTAACTAATAAATAAAGTAAACGCAAAAAAGCTAAATTTTGAAAGTAAAAAGGCAACTAATACTTAGTGTATCAGATATTCCGCATATCTCAAGTAAACAGTTAAATGATCTACCAAAAAAATTCATAAAATTAACCACAAATTTCACATTAAGCATTGCTTTACAATTGGTGTAATTGCGGAAAGTAAATACACCTACAAAACTTTATGCCTTAATTTAAATGTAAAAAGAATTAGATAAATTAATCGAATAGTTTATTGATATCAAACGCAATAGTGGCAGTAGAAGCAGCAACAGCTGCAAAATCCTACTGTCACTACCAACATGACCATTATAGAGAACTGACCTTTAAGCGATTCTCCATTATTATCTTCCTCTTCATTTCTCGTCTTCTTTCGCTTATCTATTATTTCTTTTTTTTTCACCTGTTCATTAACTGTTAACTCACCGCCACCACCAAATTTTTTTTTGAAATTATCAATTACACTTTTTTCCATCTTTGCAAACAACGGTTTAGGCTGCAAAAACCATTTAATCCATTAATGGCGGTAGACGAGGTTATTTTTCGGTTTGTACTGATTATTGCTAGCCTTTTTTCTTTTTTCTTGAAATCTGAGCATTTTGCCGTTTTTTCCAACAGCAGAATATATTTCCGAAACGGCGATAAAAGAAATTATTCCAAAATTTAGACAAAGCATCAATATAGAATTGTTATATAAAAAAATATTTTTGATATACACCAATATCACTTTGAAAATGATTATAAAAGATATAAAAAATCATACAAAAATAAAACTAACCTCGCCAATTTTATGACCAGGTTTTAAGAAAGCAATTGGAGTGGTTGGCAATAAAGCTAGTGAAGGATGGCCACAATGCTCACGAATTTTTGCACTGATGGACGGCATGTAGGGATAAAGCAAAACAGCAATTAGGTAAGTTAAGTTTGCTACTATACCGATTATGGTACCTGCTCGTTTCCTGAAAATAATCTTTTGTTAGAATAAATATATCTTTCTTTCCTTTCCTGTTTTAAGCCACCGCTTAGCTCAGTTCTTATTGTTCACACATCACAGACTCAACGAATTTACTGCAGTCCCTATTTACTTTCTGTCCAACTAAAAAATCGATTTGCAACAAACTAGGAAGCTTTCTGATTATTAGCTCTCAGATAAAACAAAGTATTTCGCCAAATTTCTTCTTCAATTGTATATTAAGTCTGCCAAAAACTGTACGCCGTGCATAGATGAATCGGACTTAACTCTGATACATCCAATTACACAATTACCTGTTGTTTTCACTTCCCTTGATCAAAACCCAAGGTTGCGTTGACTGTATATATAGATTACCATGCCTCGATATAGAGAGGACTTTTACGATACCATCACGAAGTTTCACCGAACTGAGATAAGAATCAAATTCGTATAAGTCAGACGCAACTTGTACTAACAACGCTTTGTCTTGTTCCTCGAGATACATATCTGGTACCACACCATCAAAGTACTTGGATAAGAACATTAATGCACGGTTCACGAAATTGCCCAAATTATTCAGAAGTTCTGTATTAACCTAAAATTTGTCAGGATTTATAATTTATGGACTCTAAAAACTTTTTGAAATTCCCAGTTGCAGTTATCAAATAGTCATGATGTTTCAAGAATTTGCCAGCTAAAGATTGTTAACTTTACCCAGTGAAACACTGTCTAAATGTAATTGCAATAAACTCATTATGATGGCTCTATTAATTTATAGAAAAATAATTATAAAACTAACACCTTTAATCCGAAATCATCCCAGGAAAACGAAGTATCTTGTGTTTCGGGGCGAATGTATAATAAATAAAATCGCCAAATATCGGCGTCGATACCAGTTTCTGCAACCATGTCGCCAAAAACTCCTGTACCACGCGACCTGAATATCATTATTCATCAATGGAATGAGAGCAAAAACATATAGGGAAATTCGAATTGTAAACTCCAGAAATCTGAAAAATTTATGTAAATAATGATTCGAAAAACATATGTAAGATAAAAAGAGCTGAAATCTTAGTGATAGTGCAGCTTCGTTCAAATGATAACAAATACGATAGAATCTTTTCACAAAGTTTTCAGAGTTCATAACTTCCATTATATAAATTTTGTTTCCATTTAGGAAGTCGTTATTTACAATAGCCAGTTATCGAAGGATTATCATCACGGTATTATTAACTAGAACATATGAAATATGAATGCAAAATCATGCTTGCTAAACTTCGTAGACTCGTAATTCAGATATTCTGTTGCGCAGAGACGATTCACCACGGTATAATTGTCACGCGTACCAATTAGCGCAGCAGGAAACATAACGGCGTGGAAAGCAACATTGTCATGAAAAGGAAAAATGAATAAAGTTAAGGCAAACAGAAAGAGATTCAAAATAACTCCTACAAAAAATAAAAAAAATAAAAATGTAATGAATGTGGAAGCATAAGATAGAATAATCGAAAATATAAAGTAATTAATTAACTCAATACATCTCAGCTTGAACTGATAAATCATCCATAGCACTTCTTTTTATCCTTCCATCAGACTAAAATGTCACGTATATTTAAAAACTTACTTTCCCAACAAAATTATAAAGATCGACAATACTTGGGTTTTTCCACCACTGTGACCAGCCTTCTCCCAAGTACTCTTTAGTAATTGACAAATAACCGATTGGCGCATCAAACCAAACATAAAACACCTGAAACAATGATCTCATCAAGTACCTAACATCTGTATCATACATGATTTTTTATTTTCATATAATATATGCTGCTGCTAAATAGCATCGTACATTTACAGTGCTTTTATTTGCAAAAAAATAATTTTTCCGTAGGTTTTATTACCCACTTAACAACAATTTTGCATTCTAACGGCTGATGCAGAATAAATCTATAAAAATAAAAAAATTGCCACTATGAGAAACCTATTCACATAGATGAAATTTAATAATTTGATTTAATAAAATAACAATAGGATACTTTATTCGAGAAATTATCGAGTGGGACGGGTACACCCCACTTCAAATCTCGGGTTATACAGCGCCTTTCCAAACCACCTTTCAGCCAACTTTTCGCAATTGATACAGCATTTGCTGACCATTGATTTTTTCTCGAATTAAGCTGCCTATCTAAGTGTTTTTCTACTTCACCCTGAAAAAATCAGTTACTCAGTTATCTTTTTGATTATGAATACAACTTCGAAATTACATTTAAAATTATTTTTCCGAAAAGTTAAATTTTATGGTATTTTGGTTTTATCTAAAAAGCAAAAATCGTTATAAAAATTCTATTTGTGATAAAATGAATGCAAAACATACTGCTAATTTATTTAATTGAAGAAAGATGTGATTCGACTGTTTTATAGTAGGCGTTGTCCTGCATAAGTGACATCGGGGATTTATTAACTCTATGGCATTTATTAATTTTCCACAGGTATCACACTGATCTCCTCGTGCATCATCATAATGACAGTACGGGCATTCACCACATACAAAACGATCTGCCAAGAACCTAAAAAGAAACTTACTTGCTCAAAATAAGCAGTCCGAAAGAAATTTTGGAACTATCGATAACTTTCAACAAGACAGTATAAGAAAAAATCCAGCTAAATTAGTTTAATATACAGGACTAAATTTTTACAAAAAAATGATAATTTCGAAGAAGCATATTCTAAAATCAAGCAATTACGATTCAGAAGAACTAAACAAACAAAACATTATCTTCTGCTCTGCTAATAAATTATCAACAGATACTTGGCAAATCATACGTCAACAGTCCTTGCCAAAATAAAAAAAGCCACAAGGTTGAACATAATCTCTTCCAATTTACTGCAGTTCATATTTCAAGAAAATATTTCACCTGCTACAATTATTACAGTGCAACTGATTAACGACATCGATTGAAGTGAAACCGTTTTTATGAAGTTTGAGAAAAATTTCTTGTGTAAGTCTAAAAACCAGAAAAAAGAATATGCAAAAATAATAGTTTATCATATTTTCTAAGAAAATTTTTTATATCCTTCTTATGAGCAAAATAAGGAACTGTTAGGGCGACCTAGATCACGATCCTAAATCAGTAAATGACATGTCGAACAAAATTAAGCATTAATCCTTATTGATTATGGACGCTGAATACTTAGTCACTTATTCTGATTAAAACCAAATCAAGCTTCTCTTCAAAACAAGTGAAGTGACATAAAAACTAATAGTAATAAGAATTGGCACTAACTCGTCCAGTATCTGTTCACCTGACTTAATCATTTGTTTATGCACTTACTCTGTCTGATGCTGCGTAGTTGTTCGACCAAAATGATCAAAATCGATGTTGAACCATTTATAGATCTCTGCGTGTATCGCATGATACTTATCACATATTTGGCGTGGTGTTAAACCCTCCTGTATTGCCTTTGTTTCTGTAGCTGTACCATATTCATCCGTACCACAAATAAATAATCGACGCCAACCTTTCAAGTAGCAGTATCTGAAATTGAATTTTTTAATTAAATTCTTAAAACTATGCATGTCGCCTAAGACCCTGTCTTTTAAAAAAAGTATTTTTTTTTAAAAAAAGAAATAAAACAAATCTTAACCTTAATATTAAATCGTGATTCAAACGTAAATGTTAGAAGAGAAATACAATAAAATTTATCCCGAGAACTTCACGTACATTATGAGAATAGTATCGAAATAATTGTTTATTGGTAATCGATTAAAGATAGATAAACAAATGCTTACATAGCCTTTTTCAAAGACAAAAATTATAACACCTATAAATTGAAAAAAAAAACGAAATTACCTTGAAAAAGCATCAGCACTCAAGACACATCCAACAATATTGCCCAAATGTGGCACATTATTAACATAAGGTAGGGCAGATGTTATCAAGATATTTTTTTCACCTGCCTTCGGCAGTCTGAAAAAATTATTATTTCAATTGTTCATCAGAAAATAAAAATACTTAAATAAAAGAAGGAAAGAAGAAAACTGGATTTTCTTCCCTTATATTGAAAATAATGCAATATATCTATTACTCTCCTCTCTCTCCCTCCAACTCTGAAACGGCACTAAAAGTAGCACTGACATAGGTTGTTACGTTCTCATCTGACAGCTTAAGAAATAACTGCAATAAAATTACATACCAAGAGATGTTTTAAATTATGAATAGCAATTCTTACAAAAACTTAAGATCTTGTTATAAGCCATATAATATGAAAAGTTAAAAACCGAATCCAACATACAGCAAGATGATTTTGAAACGAGAAAAAAAAAGAAAACAGAGCAGAAAACACACTTTTCAGACTTGTCAACGGATCGTACATATTCCGGATTTTGAAACCATGTTTTCTCGAAATCCATTTGAACTGATCGGATAATTAAGTATGCTTTCTACACCTAAAATAATGAAATCTCATCTTTTGAATTCAACAAAATGATTCATATACATCGCTCACACATCACAACTACGACTATATCTTTGGCGCTCGTCTCTCATATTTTGGGTATAACTTTAAAAATAATTAGATGTCTGTACTTCTACTATAAACATTTTAATCTTCGTTTCCAGCCCGTGCCTTATTGCTCTTTATTCAAATGTAGAACCACTTGTAAGTTATATACAATTTCTTATTTTACCGCTTTTATATCTATAGATTATAATCGTCAGGTAGCAATGTTTCGAAAAAAATGGATATATTAAGATTTTAAAAAGCAATCGTAACAAAACAATTTCATCCAAATTTCTTCATCATCGAGAAAGTCCAGCGTTACGGAAAAAACAACATCCGATTTTTGATCTTGTTCAAGTAGCAAAGAAAATTGAAAATATCTTCATAGTTATATGAATTATAAAACAGACTTACAAAAAATTTATTACTAATTAGTATTTTCATAAAGAATTCAAAGTGTGAATGAGGAATGAGTGTAAAATTGAAAAAAAAAAGATTCGTAAAGATTCTAGCATAGGTCAAAATCGAAAATTGTGACAGAAAATATAAATGATTTGGTGAGATTAAGAGAGGAAAGTCTGGACATATAAAAAAACTCAACCATCAAAAACTAATGCTCTCACTTCATGCAGGCCAAGAATACAAATGGACAGCAGTATTATCATAATAAAATGGACATTATGATAAAATATGCATTATAATGATAAATACACTGCAACTGAAACAAATCTGTTTTGCAATTTTGAACAATTGCTTTGTATTTATAGATTCTTTTTTCTCTTTCTTTTTTTAATTTCGTCAAGCTTCTAATGACCAGAAGTATTTGCCACTTCAGGAAATTTTTTTCGCAATCATCCCAATCTTAACCAAAAAAAGGTAAGATATAGCAAATAATTTGGAGAGAGATAGGAATTGACGAAATCTTAGAGATAATAATTCTAGAGATGGATAGGATATGAAAACTGTAAAAAGTGAAAACATAAAGATATCACTGATATTATATTGAGTAAAGAGATGACTTCAATGCTCTTTCTTTTCTTTAGGTAGCAAGTTAGGAACTAAAAGAAATAGCGTGCAACCTTGTACAATCAGGGTGATTGATAAAGCTAAAAATATAAGGGTAGAGAAAAAAGAAAACGACGAACAATGCCAAATTTTAGTAATATCAAAAAAGCCTTTAATCATTTAGCTCTCAGACACGGTGATAATTCGCGGTCAGTCCATCAACGATTACAAAAGTACATTTTATTGCGCAAACTCGTTATGAAAAATTTCAATCCATGGGACATTTATTTGTTTGGGTGTGAATTTGAATGTTTGCTGCAAGTTGTCGAATTTTTTGCTTCATTGAATTCTCGAATAATTATTTTTTAAAAAAAGAGAGTCGCTTTATTTTTTCTAACTTATTATCTGAAATAATTCGGAATTTTTGGTTTATTTTTTTATGCTATGTTATGAAATGTTTCAATTTTAAAAAAGATTTAAATCTGAATTATGATATTTTAATTTCCTTATAAAAAAAATATTAAATGTAAATTTGTCGCTGCATTCTTTCCCCAGTGAAATTAAGAGATGCAACAGAGTTTGGCATACATTTAACAATCCTATGGTGCAAATTAATTAAAGTGAATGAATATTATTAATAAATATGTCGAAGAAATAAGTCACTTTCATTTATCGTCTCAATTAAAATTTTATTTTCAAAAGTTTAAAGAAGCAAAAATTGTCTTTGCTCTCTTTCAATTATATTTTCCCTAGTTCCAAATGTATTTATATATTCCTATATCAATATATGCAATTGGAATGTATGCACAAAATAAACGTTTGTTCAATTTCGAAAAAAAAGAATCTGTAAAATTTTTTCTAGTTTATTATTGATACTGATATTATGCTCTTACTATTGTATGTCTTGCAATCAGTTTGATTCATTGTCTAAATTTTTTTCATTCTTGAAATTACAGCAAAGAAATGTTTGTCCAAACAAAAATATACACAATCCTATAAAAAGAGAAAAGTAAACGTTGATCAGATTTTGTTTACTTGCAGTTAGTTCACTTGGAATGTTGTGCATAGTCAGAAAGAAATTTTCTATAATAATTATTGAAATTACACTAATCGTTACTATGTCAAAATCATTTTGAAATCAGATCCAATAAAATGGCTTATCTATGCTAATTTTTATGAAAAACAGAAGTTACCGTGAAATGCATAAGTCACCATAAAATGCTGTGAAATTATCACGAAATGATATAAAATTATCATGAAATATTATAAACGCAGTATAGAAGTTAGCATTAATTGTATAAATTATTACAAAATGTAAAAAATATTACGAAATTTTGCTTACTAGAAAATTATATTTTCATTGCAAATTCCATGCAAATTTTACAAAATGATAATTTTATATTTGGTAAAAAATTGATAAAATGACAAAATGAATGATTGGGAATCATTGTTGTTATTCGTGGCGAACATTGCGCTTCGGAATCAAATGAAGGGGTTGAATTCATATTTTTATTTCAATATTTCCAATGCCTTTTCTTTTTCTGAAGCATTACTAATAATGTTTGAATTTGAGTTTTTATTGGAATTCTCGTAACAGAACTTGGGGAAGTTTTTTATCGGAATTCTCACAATAGAAATTAGAAATTGAAAGCAAATTTAAGCAGTTCACATTGGAGATTTTTTTTTAAATTTTTAACAAATCTTTTTATTTAAAATCGTGTTCATACTTTTATCTTTTTTTCTTTTTTTTTGTTTCGTTTTTTTTTTAACAACATAATTTTCACTATAATTGTGATGTCCGCAGTTATGAGTTTATTATCTTAAATGTTAATTGGAATTTCATAACTTCATGGCTCAGATATCACAATACCATATCTGTGCTATTTTTCAACGATTATTTTTTTTCCATTTCTCATGGTCAATATTTTTTCATGTTTCAAATTTTTAAAATTTTAAACAAAACGAAATTTTTTTGCTAATCATGAAAACTTTAAAATCTTTCTGACTCAAAAAAATCAAAAAATCTAATTTTATTTTGAGTAAAAATAAAAATTTTGATTAAAGGAGGAAGTCTGCAACTCGAAAAAAGAGTGGAACGGATATAAAATCAAATCCAAAACAACCCAATGTTGCTAAATGTCAAGCTAATGCCCGTACAGAAGTAATAATAATTTTCACGTACTTTTACCGTAACACTTTTGCTTTCACGCCTCAGGAATAATTAGCAAAAAAGTAATTTAATATTAGGAAAGATAATAAGTGTTATCAGTTGATTTATGAATGGAATGTTATTACTGTAAAATATTTTTTAACAGGTCAACGACACCATTGAACTGATTATAAAATATGATTAATGATTTGTAATCATAGAAATAATCTTTTAAAAATTAAAATTCGCACAAGTTTTACTATAATTAAGCTATAAAACATAATCAAACAAAAGTTAACTGTTAACTCGAACAAATCGCGCAAGTAAATAAAAGTTTATTAAACGGAATAAGGTAATAAAATTAAACATTTCATCTAATTATTTCAAAATATGTAATAAAATTTGATCTCAAATTTAGGTGGAACGATGGGTTCGACGAGCTCTGGAAAAAGGAGTTGGTGGATTACGTGAGGAATTTTTAAGTTTGAAGCGCTATATTCCAGAAGGTATGACAACTAATGCATTCCAAGGCACTTTCGAATCGGGGAAATCTCGATACAAGGATGTCCCGTGTCAAGATAAGTACCGTGTGGTTCTACGATGGCCTGGTGTTACTGAGGATTACATTCATGCAAATTACATTGCAACACCAATTAATGAGAAACGCTTCATTTGCACCCAAGTATGTAATTATTTGAGACAGAAAAGCAATCGATATAGTTGAAAGAATTTCAAAAATTCTTCAAAATTTTTTACAAAAATTTTATATTACAATTTTTTAGTTTAAATTTAAAGAATCAAATTAATTACTGTTTTTATGAAAACAAGTTTTTAAATATTCTACCAATTGTAATTACTGTTACATTATAATTTTTTTAAGAGAATACTTGTCGAATTGATTTTTATTGACTATCTTTTGTTTCCCCTCCAAAAAAAAAAATAATAAGTAAATTTAGTTCATCGAAAATAATCGAGGCTTTTTAGTAAATGTTAGCAGAAATTGTTTACTTACATTGTAATCATCAATAGACTGAAATTAAATTTTTCGTTTTTTCTCATAAATTACAATTTTATTTGAGTGGCTACATTTAGGGTCCAATGCCGAATAGTGTGCTGGATTTTTGGCATATGGTCGTGCAAGAGGAAAGTGACAGTATTGTTATGTTGACAAATACAATTGAGAAGGGCTTGAATAAATGTGAACAATATTGGCCTAATGATGCTGGACAGACGGTCTCATTCGGCGATATTACCGTTTCAAACATGGCGGTACCTTATTACAAATTATTACAGTACGATGGTGCCATTAAATTAGTTTAATATGTTGGCGCATATGTAAATTACATAGGCTTACAGACCTTTATTACTACATGATTTCAATAATAAAATTTTAATTGAGGTGTATTTAGTAAGGTCATTATGGTACTACATAGTCATGTAGAAAAAAAGTTGCATGTTAAGCAAGAATAGCATGGCACCATGGTCCTTCTTATCGTTTACGTTAACATTATTATTGCCATTTACTTTACTATTTTTTATCATTTCAATGTTTTCGAAAAAACACCTTTACTCATTTTTCATCTACGTATTAAATTTATTAGCAAATATTTTCAAATTCAATAATTTTTATCATTTTAGTTTAATTTCCGTCATTATTTTGTTCACATCAGGTTTCATTTAAAATATTAAATTGCAATATTCAAATATCTTGGAATTAATTTATATAT